AAGGGCATGTACCTGGGTTGCGGGCACATCCCCAGTAGGAGATGTGCAGGAGGCAGCTGGTAGATGTTTCTAACTCTCTATCTCTCTCCCTTCCTCTCTGTAAAAATCAATAAAATACATTTTTTTTTAAAAAAGAATCCTTCTTCACCATAAAGAAAGCCCGCCTTCCATTGGAGAACACTCCAGAAGTCAGGAACTGCCCATATTTTAAAAATACATTTTTCTTGATCTCAAAGAAGGAAGGAGGAGAGACAGAAACATCAACGATGAGAATCATTGACTGGCTGCCTCCTGCAGGCCCCCCACTGGGGATGGAGCCCGAAACCTGGGCATGTGCCCTTGACGGGACTTGAACCCGGGACCCTTCAGTCCGCAGGCCAACGCTCTATCCACTGAGCCAAACCAGCCAGGGCAGGAATTGCCCGTTTTAATCCAAGAAGACCCACTCACCTCTTAGGAAGCTCAGCTTTATGCTCAGACAGTCCAGGGGGTCTCCCCCTTCCTGCCCAGGCCCATCTCTCACAGACAGAAAATCCTACGCCCATTCAGTGATTCTGACCTTAACCTACTCAGGAGTCACCCACCTCTTAGTGCCAGTGGTTCTCAACCTTCTGGCCCTTTAAATACAGTTCCTCATGTTGTGACCCAACCATAAAATTATTTTCGTTGCTACTTCATAACTGTAATGTTGCTACTGTTATGAATCGTAATGTAAATATCTGATATGCAGGATGGTCTTAGGCGACCCCTGTGAAACGGCCGTTCGACCGCCAAAGGGGTCGCGACCCACAGGTTGAGAACCACTGTCTTAGTCAATCCTGCCCTCCCACACCTCCAGGAAGTCCCGCCCCTTACCCCCATCACTCTCAGCCAACTCAGGAAAGCTATGGCCTCTGAATTGCAAGACATGGAATTCAAATAGTCTCCCCATCCACTAGGAAGCCACCCCACTCTACCGCAATCACATACACCTTCAGAGTCAGGCCAGAAACCCCAATGCTCCACTTAAATCCACGCCCCTCCCCCCCGACCCAAGGAACATTTGAGATCTTGCTCCCTGGCCTATGGTGTCAGTTTTAGCTCAAATAAACTCATTAAAATGTACCCCCAAAAGTTCTACCTCCCCCAGCCAAATCAGGAAGTCCCACTTCCACCCCAGGCAGCCTGCAAGACCATAAAATCCTCAACACTGCCCTGGTTGGTTTGGCTCAGTGGATAGAGTAGGGGTGGGCAACCCCTGGCACGCGTGCCAAACATGGCACGCCAGTAACTTTTGCTGGCACGCGAAACCCTCTCTTATAATCTTCCATTTACAATTTTTTTCTTAATATCGACTTTTTTTATTTTTCAGATAAATTCAGTGTAGGTGCATCTTAGATAAATAATTTTACATAACATGTATACATTAAAAAATAAATGTATTTTTCATCATCATATACTGTGTTTTAGTCGCTCGAATGAATTTTATTATTTCTTCAAGGTTCTTCACATACGTACACCTTAAGAGATATCAAGTAGGCGTAACATGTTCTCAAAAAATTAGGGCTGGCACGCAGGAGAATTTTGAGTTGGAGATTTTGCTGGTTTTGGCACGCACTCACAAAAAGGTTGCCCACCCCTGGGATAGAGCATCGGCCTGTGGACCAAAGGGTCGCGGGTTCTATCCCCACTAGGGGGCGTGCCGGAGGAGGCTGATCCATGATTCTCATCGATGATGTTTCTATCTCTCTATCCCTCTCCCTTCCTCTCTGAAATCAATAACAATGTTTTTTGTTGTTGTTTTTTTAAATCCTCATACCAAGAAATGCTACACTTCTTCTCACTTCCAGTTCCAACACGGAGGAGGCCCTGCCTGCATCTCAATGCCGATAGAGATTTAGAAACATCGATGAGAGGGAAACATTGATCAGCTGCCTCCTGCACACCCCTCACCAGGGATGTACCTGCAACCAAGGTACATGCCCTTGACCGGAATCAAACCCGGGACCCTTCAGTCCACAGGCCGATGCTCCAACCACAGAGCCAAACCGGCTAGGGCTGTACATACTCTTTTAAGTCTGAAATAAGGGAGCAGGAACAGGAGAGAAGAAGGTTAAGGGGGGGGGGGGGGGGGGGGGGGGGACTGGCAGGGCAAACTCCGGTGACACTGCGGCACTCTTGTCTCTGCAGGGACCCTGAAGCGGCCGAAGGAGGAGAGCTGGTTCTGGGTGGTTCGGACCCAGCACACTACATCCCACCCCTCACCTACGTGCCAGTCACGGTCCCTGCCTACTGGCAGATCCACATGGAGCGGTGAGGGACCTGCCTGCTAGGTTGGCAGGGGTGGGTGTTGGGGGGCGGGGGTGCTGAGATTGCTCTCCAGTGTCCTGGCGGGAAAGGAGCTGGTGGCTGGCTGGGCTCCTGGGTCTGAGGGAGGAGGGGCTGGGGGCCTGGACTCCTGGGTCTGAGGGAGGAGGGGCTGGGGGCCTGGACTCCTGGGTCTGAGGGAGGAGGGGCTGGGGGCCTGGACTCCTGGGTCTGAGGGAGGAGGGGCTGGGGGCCTGGACTCCTGGGTCTGAGGGAGGAGGGGCTGGGGGCCTGGACTCCTGGGTCTGAGGGAGGAGGGGCTGGGGGCCTGGACTCCTGGGTCTGAGGGAGGAGGGGCTGGGGGCCTGGACTCCTGGGTCTGAGGGAGGAGGGGCTGGGGGCCTGGACTCCTGGGTCTGAGGGAGGAGGGGCTGGGGGCCTGGACTCCTGGGTCTGAGGGAGGAGGGGCTGGGGGCCTGGACTCCTGGGTCTGAGGGAGGAGGGGCTGGGGGCCTGGACTCCTGGGTCTGAGGGAGGAGGGGCTGGGGGCCTGGACTCCTGGGTCTGAGGGAGGAGGGGCTGGGGGCCTGGACTCCTGGGTCTGAGGGAGGAGGGGCTGGGGGCCTGGACTCCTGGGTCTGAGGGAGGAGGGGCTGGGGGCCTGGACTCCTAGGACACTGGCTCTAATGACTGCCCCCTTCTACATCACAGTGTGACGGTGGGCACAGGGCTGACTCTTTGTGCCCAGGGCTGTCCTGCCATTCTGGACACAGGCACGTCTCTCATCACGGGACCCACCGAGGAGATCCGGGCCCTGCACAGAGCTATCGGGGGATTCCCCCTGTTGGGGAAGGTGAGGACCCAGTGTCTGCTGGGGGTGGGCTGGGGAGGCTGATAGGGGTTTAATGGCAGAACCTGAGCAGGATGCTGGGGCCCACCGGGGACAACTGGGTGGCCAGGAGGCATTTCAGGGCAGACGGCACCGGGCAGTGTGACGGGCCGGGGGGAGTGGAGGGAAGCAGGACACCTCCCAGGCGTCTGCACTGAGTGACTCAGTGGAAGGGAGGAGATGATGACAGAGGTCTGTGCAGGACTGGATGGGAGTGAGAAGGCTAGGGGACCCGGGGCTGTCGGGGGGACGCGTGGAAGAAGCTCAGGCACCACATTTAGGGCTACCAGCCCTCAGACAGTAATCACAGCCATGGAAAGGTGAGACAGAAGGGGTCCCAGGAACATCCTGGGGGAACAACCCCCTGGAGCGAAAGTGGGGTCTGGACAGGAGCAGCCAGAGGCAGGAAGGAGCGCCTGGAGGGGGTAGGCTCCCGGAAGCCACACCAAGGGTGTTTCCTGCATGGAGTGGGGTTCGGTGCAACCTAAGAGCTGCCCCCACCTCCACCTCCCGCCCTGCTGTGCCTGGGTCCTTCCAGGTCTGAATTTCTGTGACTCTTTGGCGCTTCTGAGGGTGGAGAAAACTCAGTTGCTGAGGTTCAAGTGAAACGCCTAGGACGTCTGTAGGCCTGTAATGAGCTAAAGCAGGGGTCCTCAAACTTTTTAAACAGGGGGCCAGTTCACTGTCCCTCAGACCGTTGGAGGGCCGGACTATAGTTTTAAAAAAAAAACTATGAACAAATTCCTATGCACACTGCACATATCTTATTTTGAAGTAAAAAAACAAAACGGGAACAAATACAATATTTGTCTTTGCATGTGGCCCGCGGGCCGTAGTTTGAGAACCCCTGAGCTAAAGGAACCGGGAGGTCACAGGGGTTGTGACTGTGCGTGGCCCAGGGTGGCTGTGTGATCTTGGACAGGCCTCTTAACATTCCTTGGCCTCAGTTTCCCAATCTCTAAAATGGGGTTACTAATACCCACTTCTCTGGTGTGCTGTGAGGACTGAATCGATACATCCACTTAAGGTGCTTTGATGCCTGTCTGTTGATGTTATCATCAGCCCTGTTCTCATCATTTCCTGTCTTCCCAACGAGGTCATTCCTATTGGTTTTTCAGGAAGAGAAACGTCTAGGGTTGTTAATAATAGTCTAATACTGTATTATTCGGACCTTGGGAGTGGTGGAAATTGAGGTACACTGGAGGGGGCACATACCCCATCAATCGAAAAGGGTAGCTCTCAGCTTACGCAGCTCCAGCCAAGGGTTGCTATCCGGGGAAAGCCAGATCGCTGGTTTTTTGAAAGCCCCTGGCTTGTAAATAATTATAGCACTCACTCTGTGTCAGGCATTTTCCCAAGCTAACTCACTTCTTTGTCACACAGGTGAGTATTATCACTGTCTACCTGTTCAGATTGGGAACTGAGCAGAGAGAGGTTCAGGAACTTGTATAAGGTTGCACAGCAGCAGGCTCCCCAGGATACAACCTGTACCGCGCTGACATACAGGTGGTAATGAATTTTTAAACCATTTTAGCCTGGCCCATGTGGCTCAGTGGTTGAGCAAAGACCACAGTTCCATTTCTGGTCCGGGGAGGGCTGGATCCCCAGTAGGGGGCATGCAGGAGACAGCCAATCAATGATTCTCTCTCCTCATTGATGTTTCTATCTCTCTCTCCCTCTCCCTTCCTCTCTGAAATCAATAAAAATATTCTTTAAAAAAATCTTTCAAAAAAACATTTAGACCCAGTGTAAGACAAATTAAATACACCTGGGCACTCCAAAACGGGCTACCAGGGGTGTTTTTTGTTTGTTTGTTTAATGTCTGTTTTTTTTTTTTAATTATTGACTTTAGAGCAGCGGTTCTCAACCTGTGGGTCGCGACCCCTTTGGGGGTCAAACGACTCTTTCACAGGGGTCGCCTAAGACCATCGGAAAACACACATATAATTACATATTGTTTTTGTGATGAATCACTATGCTTTAATTATGTTCAATTTGTAACAATGAAATTGAGGGTCACCACATGACGAACTGTATGAAAGGGTCTCGGCATTAGGAAGGTTGAGAACCACTGCTTTAGAGAGAGTGGAAGGTTGAGGGAGAGATAGAAACATCCATGAGAGGGCAACATCGACTGCCTCCCGCACGCCCCCTACTGGGGATCGAGCACGCAACCCAGGCATGTGCCCTGACGGGGAATAGAACTGGTGACCTCTCGGTGAATGGGCTGATGCTCAACCACTGGGCCACACCGGCTGGGTAAGGGCCACCAGTTTTTGATCTACAATTAGACAGAGGAAAAGAAGGTCTGATGCAACAGGAGGCCAGGGGCTGTGGCGACAAGCACACAGGGTGACAGAAGAGATGTGAAGGCTAGAGGAGGCAGCGGGGTCCGACTCCCAGGTTCCGAATACCCAGCTGCCCAGTCACCTACGGCCCTGGGGCCCTCACCACCACTCGTCCCTCTCCTCCGCAGTACATCATCGAGTGCTCGATCATCCCCACGCTCCCTCCCGTGTCCTTCAGCCTCGGGGGTGTCTGGTTTAACCTCACCTCCCAGGACTACGTCATCCAGGTAGGCAGCGGTCAGAATGACGTCAGGGGGACGCGGTAACTCGGAGGGGGGGGAAGGGGGGGTGTCTCAGAGGGTGGAGCTGGGAGTGAGACCTCACACTCACAAGGACCGAGTAGGGGCCAGAGGAACCTGGACTGAGCCCGGGGTAGCGGGCGGGGCGGAGCTCTGGCTTGCGGGGAAGCAGCAGGCTCGGTGGGCGTGACGCCCAGTGGCCCGGCGTGTCACCTTGCAGATCGCTCGGGGTGGCGCCCGCGTCTGCCTGCTAGGCTTCCA